CAGTGCTAACAGCATTCTACTTCTCTTTTGTTCTAATTCTCTCTCACAGGAGAGGCCTGAACCCCCCTCACCGAGTCAAGTCCATCTCCATGACAACTTTCACTGAGCCTGAAGTACTGTTCCTGCAATCCCGTGGAAACGAGGTGAGCCACCACTGCCAGAATGATTCCAGGCTGTACTTGCCCTGTCAGCGGAGTTTTGCCTCAGATCACAGGAAAGCCCCTACAGTTTTCTGTTCGAGTTTCTCTTATTTTTTAGTATGTAAGGTATCTTACCTTATGTACATGTGTACATTTATGGAATCTTAGTTATACAAATTGGGGTTTGTCTGGGCCCATTGTTGGAAGAATCAGGGGAAGGAGCAGTCTCTGCTGGGGTGACCCTTGAGGGAGAGATGCTCCACAGTGATGAGTGTTCAGAGTTGACCGAGCGGCCCCTCTGAGCAGGAGCTCCTGGAGCTAGCTGTGCTGACGTAAGCAACTGGGTTTAAGCCCATGTCTTTACTTGAGAGTAAGTTAAACCCCTTCTCCAGCTAAATCTGCTGGTGGGAAGATTCCAACCTTGGTGCCAGCAGTACTCCTTTGAGGGGTCACTTGGAAAGTGCAAACAAGAGCCTGTAGAGGGTGTTCTGGAAGCCACAGCTCTGAAAATTGCTCCTGACCCCACCCCCATCCAAATTTAGTTTCCCTTAATTCTCATGACCCCGTACTTTCTCTCACAAGACGTGTCCCAGTGTGTCATTTTAAATGTATCTGTATTTATCTAAGACACCATTTCCCCATTAGATTATCAACTCTGTGAGGACAGAGATCATGTTTGTTTTGTAGTTGTACCCAGATCCTCATGTTGCATCCATGCTCAATAAATGTTTATTGATTGATGAGTTCGAAATGGTATGATTCCCATCTCATACTTTCTGCCCCAACTTCTCTGTCACTTGACTTCATCCCTTTAGGTTTGCAGGAAGATCTGGCTGGGTCTTTTTGATGCTCGGACATCTTTAATACCAGATTCCAGGGATCCTCAGAAGGTGAAGGAATTTCTCCAGGAAAAATATGAAAAGAAGAGATGGTAAGGAGGAGGAAAGAGATTACTCTGGAGACACGTGTCCAAGACACTTCATCTTATGGTCCACTTTCCAGAGCTGAAGTGGGGCTTCTTTCAAAGGCTAGACGAGGGTTGAGTCTGTTCCCCTCAGATTCAGTTAGGGCTGAATTCTGACTTCTAAATAATAAGGCATAAGAAAGGACAATTTGCTCTTGGTCACTGACCCTGCAGATTTGATATCCCCCTCCTTTGGGGAGACAGAAAACTGTGTGGAGGGGAGAGCTAGGCTCCCCAACTATGAAGTGTGGACTAGTTTTTAGAGGTCAGATGATCTCACAGAGAGAGGTGGCTAAGAGCACATGGCCTCTAGATTTACTAGAGGAAATTTACTAGGGGAAGGAATTTACTATATTTACTAGAGATTTACTAGGGGAAGCAGTATCTCTGTTCTCTCTTGCCTTTTCTTCCCCCACATGCCACTTCTTGTTCCATCTCTGGGGGGTGTGCATCCCCCAGTTATCTCTGGGGATAACTGTAGGGTGAAGAAGAGAATGCAGAGAGCGAGGAGATGGGTGAGGGTACAACAGCATTTTGTAGTTCCTCCTGGGAGTGTCCTTGGGATAAAAAAGATACATCCCAAGTAGAGACCACATCCATTGGAGTGGAAGGGAATTTTATCAGAAGTCCAGGAACCAGCAGGGTAAATCCTGAGTGCTTAGAAGATGGAAGTGGCAGAGAAAGAGGAACCTGAAGACACGCCCAGGAAGTAAAAGGGGGCCCTTGAGTAGGAAGCTGGAAAATAGGATCACCTGTTGGTCAGCCCGATTGCAAGTTGCTATTATCTGAAACCCAGATGGTTCACGTGTCAGAAAGAGGAGGGAGAGGTGTGGGGAAGACTGGCACAAGCCAAAGCAAACTGAACAACATCCCTGCAGGAAAAAATGATCATCTGGGAGTAAAGGAGAAACTCAAGTTAGGTGGAACTCTTCCTACATCTCTGCTTCCTTTAGTTCAAAAGAGAGAATCGAAAAAAAAAAAAAAAAAAGACTCCGTAGGGAAAATAAGAAAGGACTTTGCTGAAACCTATGTTCTCAAGCAGTTAAGCTGAGCAAGGTCCAAAGTTTCAAGGTTTCACCCCTCCTGTCTGCCTAACTATTCTTTTTCCAAGGTATGTCCCCCCAGACCAAGTCAAGGGGCCCACTTACACCAAAGGCAGCACCTCCACCCCCGTCCAGGGCTCCATCCCAGAAGGCAAGCCCCCCCGGACACTTTTGGGGGATCCTGTGCCGTCTCTCTCAGCTGCTGCCTCCAGCAGCCAGGTAACTGTCAGATCTGCCCTTGACATTATTATGGGATTTGGGAGACAGGGGTGTCAGTTTCCTAAATCAAATCACCTGGACTTAGCAGATGATCATCCAGGAGGTGTAAATGGGTTCTCAGCCCTGCTGTGACCTAGGTCTTGCATTTCTCACCTTGGACTTGTGTATTTTGGAAGAAAGAACCCAACAGGAAGTGGTATTTAGGGAAGTCAGAGTATCAACTTCAAACCTGACCACTCCTCCAAAGAAAAACGGGCCAGGACACTGCTTCAAGCACCTGTGAAAAACAAGGAGGTAACAGCTCCAGGGGGTGCTGCTGGGCGCCGTCCCTGTGTATCAGGGTCACCTTGACGCACATGCTCTAAAGTGTGTGGTTATGGGAGTGGCTGTCCTGGGACGACAGAGGAACTAGGTATGAGAAGGGCTGAGGCAACGCTTCTTCCCAGGACCCTCTCGGTTGAGGGCAGTTTCTCGCCACTCGCCTGTCTGGGGGCGGCCAGGGGAGCCATGCAGGGGCCTAGGTCATGACTGGCATTCCAAGTGCTGTATGTACTGCCTTCTCCTCCAAGCCTGTCGGTCAGCCTCGGACGTCCCAGCCCCGGAGCTCTCAACCTCCCCCTGCTTCCTCGGTCAAGAAAGCCAGTACTGATCTGCTGGCTGACATCGGCGGAGACCCCTTTGCTGCTCCCCAGGTGGCACCAGCTTTTGCTGCATTCCCAGCCTTTGGGGGTAAGTGGGACTTGGGACGAGAACTTTTGTCCCCATCAAACACGGAATTTCACTTAGCTCCAGCTCTGCACAGAAGTGAACACGATCGTGATTCTGAAGCATCACAGCCTGGAGGGTGAGGATCAGATGAGTACGGCCACAATTCCATTAGGGAGTCTGACCAAAAGCATGACAGCAGGGGGCTTCTAGCCCTTCCTTTTAGATCACTGGGAAGAGCCTTTTTCTTACTTTCTCTCCAGTAAAATGGAGCAAGGGAATTGTGACAGGTTCCATTTCCCCTGCCCTCTTTCCCGAAGACCAGCAGTAGCCAATAGAGGGTGGAACAAAGTGGTTATCTAGTTTCCCTTTTTCTTTTTAAAAGCCCTTCCCCGTAACAAAATTTTTTTCACACTATTCCACCCAAACTAGACCCTGACAAAAATGTTAATACCTCATGGAGTAAGGGTAAAAAGCGGGGAGTAAACTTGGAGACTCTGAGAGCGCCTTTCCCTCTGCATGGGTCTGGCTGTCTGCCCCAGGCTCCTGCCAACTCCCTCTGAAGCGGGCCCTGTGGGGAGGCAGATGTCTCATGGAGTGGCTCTTGGCCGCTGTATGATACAGATTACATGTATTTTATATAAACATAACCTTCATATTCTCTCCACCTACAGGCCAAACGCCTTCCCATGGGAGCTTTGCCAACTTTGATGCCTTCGGTAGTGGTCCCGGCTCTTCTGCATTTGGAAGCATTCCTCCAGCTGGTCAAGCCCCGTTCCAGGCCCAGCCGGCGCCCCCAGGTAAGTGCTGCCCCTCCAGCTTCCTTTCTTTCTGGCAACTGCATTCCACTGTCCACATCCATACATCATCCTTCATTCACATCCACACCAGCCCAGAGAACCACACAAAGAGAGGAAGCTCCAGGAAAGGATGAGAGCAATCTGATGAGGTTCTTGTCAGGAAGAAGGGGCTCTATTCTTTTTTTTCTTTTTCATGTAAGGAAAATGGCTAAAACCACAGCAGGAGTTGTGTGGGCTGTGCAGTAGGAGGTTGCTAACTGGGAAGTAAGGGAGACTGAGACTAGAAAACTTGGACATGACCTTTCCCCTGGAGGGCCCCCAGAGCAAGGGCTGGAGCAGTGTCCAAGGTAGCCTCCAAGAGACCTCACCCATCCCTCTTAGAGCAGAAGCCTGTCAACTCTATGGTGTTGCTCTTGTGCGAATGAAGGAGAGTCTAAAGGCCCTTCAAGCACTCCGTCGCTCCCAGACGACCGTCTCTGGAGCTCTTGGGCGGCCCTCTCCCTTTGGCCATCCTGCACGCCGGAGGGCAGTCGGGAGCACTGTGAGGACAGACATCCAGGGACAGCCAGTGACTGACTCTCTCTCTCTCCTCCCCACCTACCTGCCCTTTCCCTTCCCCACCCTCGCTGCCAGCCAGTCGGATGCTAACTGGAAGTCACAGCTTTGGTAAGTTACTCCTCCGACCCCACAGCCGACCCAAGGCAGGAGACTGTCTCAGACCCTCTGACCCTCAAGCTTTGAGGTCTGGGAGGAACCCCTCAAATTTACCCTTTTTACAGGGGAGGCAGCTAAGCAGTTTCCCTAGTCATTCGGTCCACAGAGAGACACAGTCCAGCCCACAGCACATATTTCTGACTCTGCTCTGCCCACAGCCCTCACCACCTCTCACCATGAACTGGTTGATTTTTTGTTTTGAATTAAATTTTTTGAATGGAACAAGAGAAGACATTTTATATTGACAGGAGTTAAAATTCACAACAAAATTCTCACATCGTGAACTTAAAGTAACTGATGAGGTAGCCTAAAAATCCATAAAGCAAAAACTACTAGAATGAAAATCTGATAAACTAACAGATAATAGATTCTCTCATAAAATTAACTGATAGAATAGATGGACAAAGAAGGAAGGAAGCTGACCATCTGAGTAACACTTTAACAAGTTTGACCTAAGAAATACAAGTAGAACTTTATAACAAAAATAAAGATATATTATTTTCAAACATATAACCCTTTTATAATTTGACAATGTATATTTAAAAAGTAAAAGAATATATATATATAATTTGACCATACACTGGGAAACAAAATCTACATAAATTCTAACAAGGAGAAATTGCATAAGTTAGAGTATTTTATATGGTAAAAGATGACCTAAACAAAGATGTCCTAAAAAAAGTCACAAAACAATGTTTTGTGTCCTTAAAGGCATGAAGCAGATAGGGAGAAGATACATATTTACAACATGGAAACAGACAAAAAGCCAATAACCATAATGTGCCTTTAAAAATTCCTATTAATAAGGAAGAATAGAATGGTCAAGGGATAGAAGCAGATAATACCCAGAAAAAAACATGAATATGTCCTCAACCTAACTAATCAGAGAAAATACAATTATAAGAACTACATTCACACAGTTTTTAAAGATTGATAATCGCCAGTACTGTGTGGGGAAATAGGTATGCTATTGTTAAGAATATAAACTGGTACCAGAATATACAATTTAGCAAGAGGAAAGTATTTCCAGGCATGGTACCTCAAAGGAAACAGTCTATTACAAGATTGTTGTAAACGGGTCGTCCAGAAATGCATTCCTAGCACAACTGATTGCTTTAAAGAGAGAGCTTAGGGGACTTCCCTAGCGGGCCAGAGGTTAAGAATCCGCACTTCCCACTGCAGGAGCATAGGTTCGATCCCTGATTAGGTAACTAAGATCGTGGGTACCTCTAGGTGTGGCAAAAAACAAAAACAAAAAAAAAGAGCTTATTAAAGGGGCTCTTTTAAAAAGAGAGAGGGAGAGAGTAAAGGTGTCAGCCTTGGAGCCATCGCAGGCTGAACCTGGGATGGATTTTTGGTTCAGTGTCTGCTCATCTCAAGAAGCAGACAGCTTCCGCCCGACCCCAAGCCCACCAGCCCCGATGGTGCCCGGAGAGCAGCTGGCTATCATCTCCTTGAGGGAAGAAAGCTCTCCGTTTGCAGTCAAGGAAGCTGGCTCACCAGGCCAGTGCCTTGGCCCAAATCAAATGGCTGCTCAGGGGCGGATCCAAGCAACTTCTCACCACCACGGTCACGGTCACGAAGGGGCTTCTGTGAGGGTGACACGAGGAGCCACTAAGGTTCGGGGGAGACGTGGGCGACTCTCCTGACGTGTCGGGTTATATTTTTGTGTTTCTGAGGGGGAGGAGAAGGGGAGGTTTCTAAAAGTGCGGTTTCCTCTGAAACTGTGAGGAGGCAAGTCTACACACCCAGCCGCGCAGGGCGAGGCTCTGGCGGTGGATAAGGTGCCCACCAGCAAGCGCGCAGGTATCACCCGAGCCCCGGCCGCTCTGCCCTCTAGCGGCCGCCGGGAGGCACGCAGCTCCCGCTCTCCCCGCTAAGACGGACGGCCAGGTCCTCATCGCGAGGGGCACCCCAACCCGAGGGCCCAGAGTGGCGCTGAAGAGTCGGGCCCCAGGGAGGGCAGGGAGCCGCGTCCGCTCGGCAGGTCCATGTACCTCGAGTCCGTCGGGCAAAGGAAGGGCCTGGAGTCTGCGAAGCGACAATCCAACCGTCGCCCCGCTGGTTTTTCAGTTGTCCTCACGGCCTCCGGGTGGGAGAGGACTTAAGACCAGTGTGCGTTACAGCCCAGCGCGTGTCCCTCGGGAAAGCCAGGGGTGGGGAGGGAGAGGGCTGAGGCGAGCCCTGTCCCCCGAGTGCCGACCCTCAGGAAGCAGCCTGTGCCCGGATCCTCGCGGCAGGCAGCCAGGCCTGGGCACCTGACTTCCCCGCTGGATTCTCTGCTCCTCCACGTTAGGCCGTCCCATCAGGTGTGCCCAGCACCAGGAAGGTGTCCTTACCAGGGGGGTCTGGACAAACGCGGCAGCCTCACGCTTTGGAAAAGGAAGCGCAGGGAGGGCCACAGTACAGTTCTGAGGCGCTCAGAAGAACCCCAAACTTCACTGACAAGAAACCAGGGCTAAGGTCTGAGGGGGCCAGAGCGCAACCACATGAATCTGAGAACCCCCTTGGCCCTGCGGTTTCCTTCCTAGTCCTGAATGTTAACTTTTCCTTTCTCTTTTTTTTTTTTGGGGGGGGGGGGTTGGGCCGAGGCTTTCTGTACTTACACGGCATGTGGGCCTCACATGTTGATGTCTCACGTGTTGACGTCTTCACGTGTTGACGTCTTCACGTTGTTGACGTCTCACGTTGTTGACGTCTCCACGTTTTTGTCTTCACGTCATTGCAGCCTGGGGAGGGGTGGGCTTACGTGATAGACGTCTTCACGCTCCTGTGGCACGTGCTGGCTTACGTGGTGGACGTTTTCACGTTGTTGTGGTGCCTGCGGGCCTTGTGCTGTAGTCTGGGGATCGCATTTGCGTCAAGTGCATTGGGAGACGAGAGTCTTAATCTCCGGCCACCAGGAAACTCACTCCTGTCCCTCTTTTTCCTCTTGTGCCTGAGGAAGCATTTTCCCTTGTGAAGGTTACCCCTCGCCCCCTTCCTGCCTTCTGCGAGGTTTTCTCCCGTGAACTTTCCGATCAATTTCACCTCCACTTTCTCCATCTCTGCTGGCACGTTCCTTTTTCCCCACAAATACATTTCAAATCTCCCATCCCACAGAGTGTTTCTGCAGCCTGACCCACGCTGGTCTCTTGTCTCATCTCCTCTCCACAGCCCTGCTTCTGGGAAAAGGAGGGAGCCACCTTCACTTACTCATTTTTATTGTCCTGTTTTCTTCCGTTTTTTACTACACATTTTATGACATAATATACATACTGTTCTACACTTTGATTTTTCTAGCTAAACAGTACTGTTAGATTTCTTTTTTTTTTTTTAGTATATGTGCTGCCGAAGCGAGCACTGTTATATTTTTTTTAAATCAGTACGTTAAGAGCTTCCTCATTCTTTTTTATAGCTGCACCACTGTCCAATTTATGTCTATACCATGATTTATCTACTTAATCTCCTGTTAGTGAATATTTAGGATGATCCAGTATTTTGCTATTAAACAGCACTGCAGTTAATAATTTTGGGGGGGGAGGCATTGGTTAAGTTATATCTGAAAGGAAATTTCCTGGCAGTGGAATTGGTCTAGTGGGGATCCAGTTGATACAGAAGTAAAATATATCACTACAAACATGTCAGGTGCTGGGAAGCAAAAGGACAAGGCTCTAGGAGAGAAAAGCCAGAATCAAATATTGGGGTCAGGAACGCCCGTGGAAGGCATAGTTCACTGGCCCATGGGCAGTGCATCCCAGCTGTGATCTGAGGTCGTGGCATCAGGGAGGTCTTCCCAGAGGGGAGGAGGTGGCTGGCTGGGTGTGGGAGGATTCTGGCGAGGCTGGAAACCAATGCTCAGCACCTCCAATGCCATCTGTATGTTTCCTGAGTCTCCCAAGTGACCCTGAACCTTTTGTGCTCTTCACAGTGCTTCCCCCACCCCCACCTGCCCCTACATATGATTTATCCATAAATGGAAATGCTGCTTTAGGGAAAAGACGAAACTTTTCCATCTCTTAAGGAAAAAATGGGAAGTGTAAGCCAAAGTAGAGCAGGAGGGACAGTGACCTGGACGAAGAAGAACTGCTTGTCTTCCAGAGGTGGCAGTTTCCAGCATTTGGGAGACTAAGAAGGGCTGGGTATCACGTTGCCTAGAATCCTCAGTGGGAGACAAGCCCTCCAGAACTGGGCAATCAGGGGAAGAACGGGCTGGCTAAGAGGACCCTGTTGGTGCCATTCATGCCATCCCTCCCCTCCCCGTCCACTGCACCCCACCTCCATCCCTCCTCTTGGCCCTTCCCTCCTGTCTCACACCAGCACGCCCTGTTTTACTCCTGTTCCTGCCCAGGGAGCAGCCAGGGGACTCCATTTGGTGCCTCTCCTCTCGCACCTGCTAGTCAGCCCAACAGCCTCGCAGATATGGGCAGCCTCCTGGGGCCTGGGGCATCAGCTGGAGGCATCCCCAGCAGGTAGGTCCACATGTCGGGGAGCTCGCCCTCGGGCAGGAAAGCCAGCCAAGAAATCCTGGCCTTGGTTATCCCAGCCTGCTCAGCTCCTCCTGTCTGGCAGGATGGGGTCTGCACCTCCTGGTCCCTTGCCCAGCCCACCTCCTCGGTGCTGGGTGATGTGCGTGCTGACTTCTCTCCCTGTGTCACAGCATCTTCGGGATGGCTGGCCAGGTCCCCACGCTCCAGTCGGCCACCACTGGCGGAGGCGGCAGCCCAGGGCTAGCTTTTGGAGGTGAGTCTTTCGTGTAGGAACCTCAGGAGGGGATCTAAGGTCAAGAGGAAATTGAGGACTCTAGAGGGAGGGGGTGGGGAGAGTTGCACACTGGGATTTAGAGGAATGCTCAGTTATGATGTTAACCAAATGAGAAAAATTAACCAGCTCTTCCTCCCACCTCTACCCCATTCCACCCTGAGCAGCCTTCAACCCTTTCACCACACCTGCTGCTCACGCCCAGCTGCCTTCCACCAACCCTTTCCAGCCCAATGGCTTGGCCACAGGTAAGCTTCCCAGACTATCCCCTGATGCTAGCTAGCGCTCTCCAGAGTCACCAGCCCAGGCCAGACTGGTTTAACTTCCAAGCCACCTAGTGGGCAAAAACTGGAGACACCCAGGTCACGGAATTTCAGAGTTAGAAAAAACAGTCTGCCTCTTCACTGAGTCGGTTCCGAAGGGTTGACGCTGACTGGTAGTGGTGGGGATGCTTTTTCCTCCAACCCTGTTTCCCTCTGGCGGTCTAGCCTCCTCCCTTCTGCGTCCCACCTGAAACCATGGCTCTGATCCCTGCCCTCCTCAGCCGGAGTTTTCTCTCTCCAAACTCAGGCTCGTGTGCCTCCTCCTCCTCTTTTTTTTTTTTTTTTTTCTGGTTGTTCTCAAAAAAACCTTGAAGCCGGAGAGAGAACAATACTCCCTGCTAAGCTGACCCACGTGGCAGGCCCAGCGCTTAGGGCTCTGCACCGTTATTTCATGTTTGCAACAGTCATGCCGAGGAGATAGGCATGGTCCCCATTTCAGAGATGAGAGTAACTTGTTGTGGTTTGTGCAGTATAAGAGATGCGGAAAGCGGACCCCAGTTCCATGTTGTGCCTGTGCTCATAACTAGCCTGTTCTCTGACCCACAGGCCCCAAGAGAGCAGGTTTGGCAGGGTGCAGGGATGCTGAAGGGTTTCATGCTCTTTCCGGGTACTTCCACTAGGTACCTCTGGGTAGGGAAAAACTAGCTTCCATTTCCCTATCTTGGAGGGATTAGGAAGACCTGTTCTCCAGCCTACCTTCCAGAACCTCGCCTATCTCACGTCCCTCCCTCCACAGGGCCGGGCTTTGGGATGAGCGGTGCTGGGCCAGGCTTCCCCCAGACAGTGCCACCCACCGGGGCTTTCGCCAGCCCCTTCCCACCACCGCTCTTCCCCGCACAGACCTCGATGACTCAGCAGCAGAATGGTAAGGGGTTCAGACCAAGCCCTCCTTTCTAACCCCATTCCCAGCCCCAGGGTCTGGGCGGGTCTGTGAGTGTGTGAATATCAGGAGTATGTATTAGGGAGCAGGTGTCTGAGCTAGTTCCCTCTTGGACCAGCAGGGGGAGCCCAGGGAAGTAACAGACCTGCTTGTGTCCTCTGATTGTTCCACATGTTTATTCCCCACTTTGGAGAGGACCCCGCTGGGCCCCCCGCCTTGGGTTGTATCTGGGCCTGCCCGGCACGGAGACAGACGAGCTGGGCAGCACCCGCCTGAGCGGCAGGGCTCCCGTCAGCTGAATTTTTGCTCTTGCCTCCCAGGCTATTCCTTCGGAGACTTGGGATCCGCCAAGCTGGGGCAGGGGCCACTGAGTCAGCCAGCTGGCATCTCCACCAACCCCTTCGTGGTGAGCGCACCAGAGCAGGGCCCGGGCCTGATTAGGGTGCTTGGCCTTTCCCTCTGGGGGCTGAGGACGGAATCCTTCCAGGAGAAGAGGGCAATGTGGGACAGGACGCATGCCCGTTCCCCGTGAGACTCTGCTTGGCTCAGCCAGGGATGAGTGGGCTAGTGACGGGGCCTCGGCTCTCCTTGGCCCTGACTTCATCCACCCTCCCCATGCCCTCTAAGACTGGCCTCCTAGCTCCCTCCTTTGCCCTCTTCCCTCCACGCAGTCATTTTGAAGGAGAAAGGAATCCTGGGCCACACATCGTCTGTGGCCTCCAGCTCTTCCTAATTTAACAATTTGCGGTTGTTCTTTCTTTCCAGACTGGATCCTCATCAAGCCCATTTGCTGCCAAACCTCCGACCACCACCAACCCATTCTTGTAGCACTGTGTCCTAGAGGGGCCTGTTCTCCGGGGCCCCTCTGCTCCCTGGAGTTCTGAGGACCACTTGCCTGTGGCATTTCTGCGGGTCTGAGACCAGATGGGTCTTGTTTTGCAGGGTAGGGGGCTGAGGGTGGCAGAGCCGCTAATGCTTTGCTTGGGGCTTGCAGATAAAAGGACAGCTTCCCAGGTCAGCTGCCCCCCAGGTCTCCTTCCTTTCCTTCTCCAGCCCCCACCCAGGCAGGGGGCGCCCCGGGAGGCAAGATGACAGAGCCAGGCCTAGAGGAGCTGTGGTGTTTTATTTCTCAAATTATTAACGATGATGACAGTAGTCCTCCCCTCCTGCCCTTAGCGCTCCCTTCACTCTGAACCCTGTCAGGGGAGGAAGCCGTGGGCATAGGCTGACCAGTACTCCCCGTGGGAACGACTCCGCAGTGCCCAGCTTGCTGATTGTTCTCCTCGTGGTCGGAAGCACTGTGGGGAAAGCAGGGCAGAGGTGGGGATGAGGCGCAGAATGGTGACCAGACAGGCTGAGGAGGCCCTGGGGGGCCAGAGTGCCCTGGCTCGGGCCAGCAGCCCTTTCTCCATGTTCTCGCTTCCCCAGCTTCCTGCCACATCCTGGGCACTTAGGATGAATCATTTCACCTACAGACTTACACATGCCCAACTGCCGTCAAGCACTTTAGTTAGCTGTGGTGTCATGTTTGGATACCAGTGTTTTATATTTATACATAGAGAGAATTTTCTAATATAGCCTGTTATATATCTATCTATATATGCACACACACATATCCACACGCAGCCATCCTCCCCTCCCAGACGGCTCTTCCACGCGAGAATGGGATGAACCCCTATGGGGGCCTCGACTGCAAAGCCGGCGCTCCAGGGGGTGCGGGAGGGAGCCACATGTCCCAACCACCCCAGGGCCTGAGCTTTTTCAGGAAAAGGCTTTGTGCAATTGGCTGGGGTTTTTTTTTTTTTCTTTCTTTTTTTTTCCCCATGTGCCTCCCTCCCCCTTCCCTGCCCCCCAAATCTCTGCACCAAAGCTGTTGCGGGCAATGTTGGGAAAGAACTGCATTAAAAAAAAAAAATGGCTCTCGTAGTCTTGCTTTGGGCCAGCCCCAGGGTCCACGTGTCAGTCAACATGACTGCCTGGGTTGGTGACGATGCTGCTGTTGGCCAAGGACACGGCCAGCCCCTGCCTGAACTGCAGTCCAGTTTTAGCAATGGAGGGAGCTGGAGGGGATCGGGGGTGGTCATCAAAATCCAGCACTTCTGGGTTAGGGGCATCCTCAGACCCCACCCAGACCCTCGCCACCTGAGGATGTTTTGTCAATAGTCACATGTCTGGGCTGTTTGTGTGATGACAAGACAGATGGCTTGGGTTAAACACCGCAGCTGGTGAAGGCGAGGCCCAGGACTGGGTGCAGCTCCCCAGCCTCCCACCCACTGCCCAGGAACCCTGACCCTTCGGCTGCCCTTTCTTGGGATTTCTCTGGGTCTTTCCACTCAATGACCTTTAACAACCTGGCAGCCAGGAGAGGTGGGGACAGTGTTATCACTGACTGACTCTGAGGACTTTTTTTGTAAATCCCTTTAGCTGCTGCTCTCGCCCAGCCAGGTGTGGCCTTCCCACCGCTCCAGGGCTCAGTCTTCATCACATCTTGTGTCTGTCTGCCCCTTCTCTAGCCTCTACCCTCCTTCCGTCTCCTGGTGGTGCTCCGAGAGTGGACCACCGTCTTTTTTACCCCTGGGTACTCCATGGCAACCCACTCCAGTATTCCTGCCTGGGAAATTCCATAGACAGAGGAGCCTGGCAGGCCATAGTCCGTGGGGTTGCAGAGTCGGACACAACTGAGCGAGTAAACAACAGCTCTCCTCTGTCAGTCTTTGTCTCTGTTTCCCATTCCCTGCTCAGAGCCTGCAAGGGGAGGGAAACTGAAATCTGGCGGGTGGGGTGGGGGAGGAGCCTTTTCTTCCTGTTCCCCAGCTCCCCTTACTCCTTTCCCAGCCAAGAACACTGAGGTTTGGAGGTGAGATTGAAAGGACCACGAGCCTCAGTGCCTCTTACTGTTTCAGCCACACTCCTGCTGCTTCCCAGAGGCATTTCCTTAACTGCTTGGTGCCTGGGTCCAGGACCTCCCTGCAGTCCCTGTCCATGCCTCCCAGCCACTCTGTCCGACATGGACCCCAGCCAGCTCACTTGCCAGGGCAGGATGACCAATCAGAGAAGTAACCCTGGGTCAGCATCCAACTCCAGGGGAGAAAAGTCAAGAGGTCCCCAGGCACGGGCCGGGCCCAGGACTGCAGAACAGCCCTAGCACTGCCTCCACTGGGTGCCCTCTTTCCAGGGAGGCTGCCAGGATGGAAGAATCCCTGACCTGATAATGGCTGGGCTGTGTTCCCCCTGCCCCGTCCTCCAGGGTCTCCCTGCAGGCCCAGCCTGGTGGTTGCCAATATGAACCCACACCGCGGGGCTGGAAGGACTCCCCCAGGCTGCCCCTGGGCTTCTGACCAAGTGCTCATGGTCCCCTGGCCAATGCTGTGACCGCGCTCTGCAGGCAACAGCCCTCTGGCTTGACCCCAGCCTTCAGCAGGTCACTGGCAGCTGCCTTTCTGGGTGAGGAAGCAGGAGCTGGTCCCCATGACTTCTGCCAAGCTCTCTGTTCTCACTACATCGGGACCTGGGAGCCGTGGCAGCGGGGAGGACGCGGGTGGTGCTGTCCCCACATGCTGCTCCACGGGAATCAAGAACCCGAGGGAAGAGAGGGAGCCGGGGCCTCAGAGCCCAGCCTCCCCGCTGTAGGCTCCTCCGTGGTGAGTCTTCCCGAGGCACATGGAATGTGGGAGTCCATCCCTCAGCTGCCCTGCACCTGGCAGCTGGATGCGCAGGGGCACCCCCTCAGGTTGGGGGAGGCATTCTCACCCAGCAGAGCTGAAGTTCTGTCACTTCCTGTCACTGGGGGGTAGTGAAACGAGTTACCAGGGTAACTCGTAAATCTTGTCTGGGTAGAATCAAGGGCAGTGTTGTTGCCAGGGCAACTGATTAGGTCAGGTGTTTGGCTCCGGGCTTTTCCTGGTACCCAGCAGGGTATATCACCTGGCATTGATGACCAACCCACTGGACCGTGGTTGCTCACCCAGGGCCCATGCTCCTATCCCTGCTACTTCCTGCTTTGTCTTGACCCAGCATTTAGGGGTTCAGTGACACAAGATGGTCTGGAGCTGTTCTCTGTGACAGCGGCTGTGATTTCACAAGGCCTGGGGTGCTGCAAGGTGGACTGGTTGGTGGGGAATTAGAAGGACTGGATGTGAAGAGACCCTCCCATGGGGTAGCTTCAAATCAAGGCTGGGGAGTAAAGGCTCCAAGCAGGCGCACAGCAGGTACATAGGCCTGTGAGTGCCCTGCTTCTCGAGGCAGCACCAGAACTAGGAAGCAGAGAGGCCTGCAGGTGTCTTTTGTGTCCCTGCAACTTTGCACGTGGCACATATGTCAAGGCCACACTGGAGGCCATGACCTTGAACATACTTCCAGTTGTGATGTCCACTTCAGGATCTACCAGACCTGCCTCTTTAGACAACATCCATCAGAGGTGGAGGCTGCAGCTGGCCCCCGTGTACCACCTGAGCTGCAGGTACCGCCTCTCTGGCACCTGCAGAGGCTGCAGCTCACAGGGAGGCATCTGGAGCAGGCCTTGGGCATCGCCTGCCCCCTGGCCAGATGCTTATCCTCACGATGCCAGGTAGTACTCTGCATCACACTTTCAACACACCCCTTAAAGCTGTTCAAGGATCTTAGCCTCCCTGCACATTACACCATTGTCTTCTCCAGTATTCCAGCTCATAGACCAGCCCCTTCCTTCCACCCCTGGAAAGTGGAGGCGCCTGGGTGGGAAACCCAGCCCTCCCTGCTCAGGCTTACTTGGCCTGTGGACTAGCCTGAAGGAAAGAATCAGGGGGCTTTGCTTCAGTACTGCTGCTATAGCTCCTTCCTCACCCGACGGTACCACATTTAATAGGGGCTACAGTCACCCTCTTCCTCCCCCAAACCCTCAGCTCCCCTACTTCAGATAAACTACCTCCCACAACAGTGGTATGGTAAGGTCCTCTAAGACCCCCACCCACGTGTCAGCTGCCAGTTTGTCTCATAGAGTGTGCACTGACCAGCGCCATCATCTCCAACGTGAGCGGGTGGTCCTTAGAAGGATCAGAAGTGGGTGTCAAAATGTCTGAATTCCAGCCCCATTCCAAGCGTCTAGGGGATGCGAGGGGCAAAGGGCACCGCCCTCAGTGCAGTGAGTCTACATAATCAGAGCTTCCAGCTGGCCTGAACAGTGATGGCGGGGAGGGGCCGAGGGCACCAGTGCAGCAAGAGGGAAGGGCCCCTGAGAGGGTCTCTCCGTCCTTCAGTGATTAGGACCCCGGTGGGCATGGTCTGCAGCAGACCAACACAGAAGTTAACTCCTCCCAAGACACCTGCTATCGGCCCTAACCCCGCAGAGAAACTAAACCTCTAGCTCCTCTGAAATCCGCATAGCCCAAAGCTCGGCGGCCCTGGCTCCCAGAATTACATGGGAAGGAAGAGAACAGAGCCATTCATGGGTGGGAAGCGGGGGACCCGGGTGCCCAGAGCCCAAGTGGGGAGCTGCGGGCACCGCTGTAAGGATGACCAGGCTCAGCGGTCCGCCCACCCCCAGGACCCACCAGCATGTTCACCACAGACGTGGCTCCCTGCACACGCGCCTCCCCCTTGCTGCTTTCTTGGCAATCAGCTCAGATCACTCCCCGGCTCCTGCGAAAGCCCAGTCCCACGGTGTGGGGTGGGGTGAGGCACAGGCCGCCGTTCCTGGACTTTCCGACTCAAACTCCACTCCCACCGCCGGGGCGCGCGAGGGTTAACCTCAGGGGGTGGGGACTTCGGCGTGATCCCCGCTAGGAGGGAGGGGAGAGGCGGGGAGGCCGTCGGAGCCCCGGGTATCTCAGGCCACAGGGCGCCACTGGGGCACACGCTGCGCGCAGCGAGGGGCCAAACGAAGTTGGGAGCAGGAGAGAGACGCGGAGTTTCCAGACGGATAAGGACGCCGCCCCCGTCCCCGGGGACCGCTCTTTCTACCCTGCCTCTGCCAGCCCCTCCCCAGCCGTCCCAGCCCCTTGCTCCGGCCACCTGATTGCTTTGGGCAAGAATGAAGGCCGGAGACCCCACGACTACCCCGGAGGCCCAGTCGGCCGCCGTGGCTCTGGGTCCGCCGCGTTCCTGGGTCTGCCCGGCTGACGTGCGGCTCTGCGGCCACCTGCGGAAGCAGAAGTCCCAGCGCCGCCGCTTTTTTGTGCTCCGCGCCGACCCGCCGCGCCTCGAATGTTACGAGAGCGAGAAGAAGTTCCGCGCCGGCCGAACGCCGCCCAAGTTCAGCGTGAGCCTGGGGGGCGCCTGCACCATCAGCAAGCGCATGGACGCGCGCCAGCGCCACCTGATCGTCCTGTACACGCGCGACCGCAGCCTGGGCGTGGCGGCGGCCAGCGAGGCGGAGCAGCAGGCGTGGTACGGCGCCCTGCTCGAGGCGCGCGCCGCCGCCGGTGAGGCCCCAGCCCCGCGCCGCGGGAGATGCAGCTGGTGGAGTGTGTGCGTGTGTGCGTGTGTGCGTGTGTGTGTGTGTGTGTGTGTGTGTGTGTGTTGGGGCGTGGGGGTGGGGGGGGCGGTTGTGGATTTGGTCTATCCGTAGGCGGTCCCTCCCAAGGGTCTCCGAAGTCAAGTCCAAACCTGAAGGGTTTACACCTTCGGGTTTTCATTCCCTGAGGCACAGTGTCTCCAACCTGTGGGCCCGGAGTCCCGGTTACCAGCCCATTGTTTCTTCAGGTCCCAGTTCCCCCGAGGACCCCGGGGCCTGGATCCTCGCTCCGTTTCAGGACGTCTGGCCTGTGACTCTGCGACCCAAGGGGCTGGGGCGGGCACGAGGCCTGGGCAGCGGCGGCTACTGCCTGTGCCTGGGTTCCGGGGTACTGAGCCTGCTGCGGAAGCCAGGGGGCAGAGGCTCCGGGGCCACCGGGGCATCTCCGCCGCCAGCCCTGCGCCTGTCCCTGCTCAGCGTGCGCCGCTGCGGCCACGCAGACTCTTTTTTCTTCCTGGAGCTCGGCCGTTCAGCACCCACGGGTCCCGGGGAGCTCTGGCTACAGGCGCCCGACGCCGTGGTGGCCCAAAGCATTCACGAGACAGTTCTGGCCGCCATGAAGCGAATCGGGGACAGTGGTGCTGTTGGCAGGGCTGAGCCACTGCCAAGAAAGCCCCCAACGGGCGCCTTCAGACCCTCTGTCCCCCAATCTTATGAGACCCCAGACTCTGCAGCCCAAACAAGCGAGCTGAACCGTCGGGATGGCCCGAGTGAGACCAGCGAGCAAGCAACCAAGACCCTGGCAAGGCTGGGGGAGGCAGCCTCCAACCCCGTGAGGTTGGAGCGGAGCGGGGGCTACATAACAATGGGAGCCGGGAGTGACTACGAGCCCATGAAGGGCGGCCAAGCCGGCGGCTACGTGGTGATGGAGCCCCCGGGCCTTCCCGCCTCCACCAAAGCAGCTCCCCGCCTGCCGCTCCAGGATGGAGGGGTCACTGAATACGTGACCATGAGCTGCTGTGCACCACGGTCCTTTTCCTCAGGTTTCTTGCCTCTTTCCTCCGGGGCCGGGGAGCCTGGACCCGGGCTCCAAGGCTCTCCTCTCGGCATCAGAGACGGCTGGGGACGGGCTGGGGCTCAGCCCTGCTTGCAGCCGCCGTCAGAGTTAGCCGGGGAATACGTGTGCATTGAGTATGCGGCCGCGGACTACATAGGAATGGGCACTGCCATCCCGGAGACCCCAGACCGTGGCCTCAACTACGTGGACCTGGATCTGGTCCCTCCCCTGGAGGTGCGGGGCCACGCCCCCGGGGCCAGGCCCCGCCCACACAGCTACGCTCGGCTGGAGTTCCAGAACCTCGCGGAGACCCGGGTGAGGAGACACCCCACCCCCAACTCCCTGCCAACCCCCACCCCCGCCTCCCCTCGACAGGACACCAGTCAGTATAGCGGACAGACAGGAGTGTAGGGAGGAAAAAAAAGAAGTGCAAGGTTAAGAATGCCTTCCCACCCACCCCTTCTCAACCCCAAAGCCCCCTTCCACACATCGGAGTGGCTCTGAAGTCCAGATGTGCCCAGGACGTGTGACCAGCAGAAGCACCGAGCTGCCCCCTAGGGCCCGCTGCCCACTCCACTCCTTCCAACCTTTGGGAGGAGGTTTCCCAAGAAGTTGGATTCTTTTAAGGGAGAAAATTCTAGAACTCTTCTCCCCTTAAAAAACACCACCACCACCAGAACCCTACACATTTCTAGATCTTCTGAGCCAAAGCCCTGATCCTGTTTCCCCACAGAGTTCCTGCAGCATCACTCCAGACTCTCAAGTCGGCTTCGGCCCCCCACCCTGCCCCTGACGATGACAACATCGATGATGCAAAAGACATACAGATCTGGCTCTCCCCCAACCCACCTGCAGGTTTGCCGGGTGTCTGCCAGTCCTGGGACCCCAGCGCAAGAGGGATGAGAGCACCAGGTATCTTACACTAGTGCCCCCAACACCCCCCCCCCCCCCCGGCCAAAATGATGACACCCCCTTACTCCCTACTTTGCTTCTCCCAATGCCAGCTCTGTGCTCAGACAATCCTCCTTCTCCCAGGCCTGGCAAAGCTGAGGGAGCCCTTGCTTCTAATATATTCAGTCTAGTCTAGAGTAATACTCTGTACACTCCCCCTCTTCATTAAAGTTTCCCTGCTTGGTCAGCCTGGAAAGGTCTTAGGTCCATAGGTTCCCCACCTCATGGGGGAATGAGTAACAAGAATCAGAGAGGGGCAGTCAAAGCTGTCGTAGAGGAAGAGAACCCATCCCTGCCTCCACCCCCACCCCCCCTGCTATTTACCACGAGGAGCCTGTTTGCAAACCAACAGTTTTATTATCAATAGAACCTGCCTGGGGAAGTAGAGGGCCCATTCTGTCCCTGGAGGAGCTATGGACCTTGGGCGTCTGGGGTCCCGGGGAGAGATGGTTCCCCGCAGTGAGAACAGCCCGAGCCACCACTGGCAGCTGGGTGACCAGAGGCAAGGGCTGGGGGACCAGAAGGAAGCCCGGGAGCCCCTGAGGTGCTGGGTCTCGGTTCCCCCTGGCTCATCTGCAGGAGGCCAGTGAGGGCGATTAGCTCTGGTCCACTGAGCCAAGCAGTGGAGCAGCGCGAAGTCGGAATGGGGAGGAGCCAGGGGGACATGATCGGGCGTGGGAGCAGCAGCTTCAGAGACCCCATCACCTGAGGAGAGAGGAGGGGCAGTGTCTCCCGGAAAGCCCTGCCTGAAGGCTGGGGTGAGGCGGAGGCAGCAGGAGCGCTCACCTGCTGAGAGGCCTCAGACAGGTACAGGGGAACACGCTGCCCACGGGGCAGCAGACGGTCCAAAAAGAAGACATCTTCAGAGCACATCACCGGGAACCCTGGGGAGGAGAAGCTACTGGGGTGGCAAGCTCTGCACTGGTTCTCTGCGGAACCTGAGAGGACCAAGGGCAGTACCTGCACCCCTGGGCACTTGCTCTTCACGCCAACATCCTGCTAGACCGGGCCTGAGGCCCCTGCATGAGGCTGCCTGGTACAGAGGCCAGAATGAGGGATGGTACAAGGTCCGGCCTGATACGGAGATGCCAGATGCACAGCTAGGTCCCTGTAGAGGGAGGGACAGGAAAGATTCCTGGCTCTTCAGCCCCTTCCAAGGCATCCCTGTCCTACCCAAGGTCACTGCCATAGGTACCCCCAACTCACCCACACCAGCCGACGTCCTGCTGCAGCCTCATAGTTGGGGTCCCAGGGCGCTAACAGGGTCATCTTTGATGGTGCCACCCCCCAAGTCCTCTGAGGGGAGAAAGGAACTGGGGCGGGGAGAGGAGAGAGAGCAGGAGATGAGGCGATTAAAACAGGCTCAGGAATCAGTAAAAGGGTCTTGGGGGTAAAATGGCAGGACACTGTACCTACCTGGAGTTCCCGGGGAATGCTTGGCAGCCAGGCCTGGGAGGAGCCGAGGCCGCAGCTGCTCTTTCCGAGTCCAGGAAAGTCTTCGACGCCAGGGCTGGGGGCTGGGGGCACGGGGAGAGGGGTACTGAGATGATCCGGTCACAGCCTCCCCCAGTCACCGCCCCCACTCCAAGTCTGAATATCTCCAAGGCAGAGCCCAGGGGGCCCGGTGCGGGGAGACGGATCATACCCATTATTCAGTAGGGACAACTGAGAGTTCCTCATACTGTGGGCCCCTCCTGGGTTCCCCCCAAGTGCCGTCGGCCGAGCCCCTCACCTGCCCTCTGTGGCTGTTCCTGGCTCCACCAGGGCTTCCTCTCCGGAGTCCCAGGCCTGGGAGAGGCCGCTGTCCGCCGAGGGGCATCGTTCCATGGGCGCCTGCTCTTCACCCGCGCCCCACCGCCGGGCGTTCCAGGGCAGCATGTCGAGTCAGGAAGGCGGGCAGGGCCACACCTCTGCGCTCGCGCAGCCCGCCAGGCCCCTCTCGGTCCCTCCTCTGGCCCGGCCTCCCTAAGAGACCTGTGCTGCCACGCGCGTGCCCAAGAGCTCAGGTTGTGGCCCACCTCGCAGGGTCTCACGGGGCCTCGCGATGCCTCGTGACGCCGGCGCCCAGCGCGTTTCCGGGACACGTGGCGCGCCGACCCGCCGGGATTCCCGCGAGCGCCCCCTGGCGGCGGGGTGGCAGGGCCGCGCGCGAGGGTGAAGCCTGGGAAAAGAACCGCGGCCCCCGAAGTGGACGTGGTGGCCACCCGGATGTGGAAGTGGGGAGGGGGAACTCGCGCCCTGCTCTTATTCGCGCGCGTGCGCGCGCACACACACACACAGACATATCTGAGGGGCGACCTAGAGGGCTTCCGGCTTCTCTTTATTGCACTTGACACAACAACATCCAGCTCCCCATCTTCCACCCTTGGCCGCACCCAGAGGCGGCCATGCGCCTTGCTGGGCCGGCCTGCCTCCAACCTCCGGGGCAGAGGTGCCCAAGGCATAGGGCCAGGCCCGAGGCCGCCCTCACCAGTCCTCACTAGAGAGCGGAGCCCAGACGCCGCTGTCTTCGGTTCCTGGGGCCCCCGCCGGGTTGGGCCCCTGCACCCCGACCTCAACCCTAAGGCCGTTCCAGCAGTGCATGGATGACAGCAGCGATGTAGGGGAGGCCCCTTCCCGGGGCCCCCTCCTCCTCCAGGATGTGGTGGGGCTGGCACAGGGACTCCTGGGGGGAAGGGGCCAGGGTAAAGTTCCCCTTGTCACCTCCTCCTCTTGGCCGTGGGGTAGGAGACACCCTAAAAGAGCCTGAACCAAGGGGGCTGATGGGATGTAGCAGGCAAAGGTCAAGTGCACCCTGCACATGGCTTGGGGACCACCGAGATGCAAGGAAGCTGCCAGAGGGTAACAGAAGGGAGATGACACAGCGGGCCGAGGCTTAGAGGGGAGGACAGACCTGCCACTTTCAGAGGAAAATGCTGGAGTAGGCGGGCTGGCACATAGAGCCCAGGGGACACGGCTGGGCTGGGCCCAGCACAGCAGGAGCAGACGCGCACACACACACACAAACACACACGCGGCCACGATCTGTACAATTTATACAAGAGACAGGGCCCCTGCCTGGGCCCCTGCATCCTCTACAAATATAGAGTTCTCTCTACAAAATATAGATAATTTAGCCCCCTATAGCAGCGGGGGTGGGGTGGGGGGGTGCAAGGAGGAAGGTTAAGCTCCACCCTCTGGGGAAGCAGGGAGGACTCGAAGGCACCATCAGCACGCAGGGGGCGGGGCAGGGGGAGGGGCTACAGGAGGGGACCAGAGGCTGGGGGCCCAGGGTCTGGGGGTACCAGAGTGGGGCCTCTGAAGTCAGTGTGTATGAGGGGTGGGGTTCACTAGTGTCTTTGGTAGGGGCTGAAGGCACCACTGGTGGGGAGGGGGTTGCACAGGAGTCATAAATAGAAAAGAGGGCAAGGGGCGGGGGAGGGGTGACTGCAGGTCCTAGGAGCCCAGGAGCCGAGTGTAGACGACACAGAGCAGCAGCATTAGGACCACGTAGAAGAGGATGAAGCCGCCCAGACCCGAGGGGGGCCAGGGGGGCGGGGGCGCCCTGCCCCCCACCCGCGTCACAGCCTCCAGGGTGGTCCGAAGCCCCTGGGCAGTGCCCTGGAGGAGATCTGAGGGCGAGCACAGGTCAGCCTGGGAAGGGAGAGTAGGACAGATGGACAAGACAAAGGACACACGTCAATAGCAGCAGCAAGACCATCCTTCCCACCCCTGCCCTCACATGCAGGGCCAGAGCCACGCCAACATGCAGAGTGCGGGAAGGGAGGCATGCGGGGGGGACACACAGGATGGGCTGGTGGCTGTGCTTCCTTCTGGGGAGCAGAGACCCCCGTGAGCATCCATGCAGAGGGCCCCGCTGAGCCCAGGACAAACTGTACCCTTTATAGGAGAGACCAGCCCTGCGCCCGAGAGCACATCCCCATACCTCAGGTACCCCCATTTTTCGACAGGCTTCTAAGAAACTCTCTACGTTCTTCCGAGACTTGAGGGCACTGAGTTTTGGCTGAGGGTGGGTGAGAAAGGAAAGAGGGAGTAAGAGAGAGGCCCCAGGGGTTCCTGCCCAAACCCCCACTTCCTGCCCTGGGCCCCAACTGACCACAGCAGGTGAGGGCACATGAATGAAGGGCACAGAGCGGGGCCGCAGCTGGTTGGCCAGCTGACAGAGGATGACCCCGTTGGCCAGAGCCTCGGCCAGGTCATCGGGCAGTGGCCGCTGCAGGTGGCACTCAAGCACCTGGAAGATGGGAAGGAGGGGGAGAGGTCAGCGTCTCCAGAGGAAGTACCAGGCTGGGCAAGGAGGAGGCTGAGGGAAGCCAGGAAACTTGGGCCCACGTGGAACCCAGGCTCCACCCACACGAGTCCCACCTCTCATACCTGGCGCAGCTGAGCCATCACCTCCTTTTCATCCAAAAGCTGGGGGGGTCGCCGAGGTCTCAAGACAGTGTCTGGTGAGGAAGGGCCTGGAGAAAAGGGGGATGTGGGGCTGTCTCCACCGCCCACCATGGACTTTGTAGCCGGGTCGCAGTGTCTGGCACTCACATCTCCTGCCTCTGCGCTTGTGGGATTTTCCACACAAAGGGACAATTGACCAGAGAACTTCTAGGCCACAAGGGACGACCCCAGCCCGGGGCTTAGCGCTGGATTAGTACTGGGGAGGGGGCAAGACCCACCTGAGCTGCTCTGAGAGGAAGAACGGAAGAGGAAGCTGTTTGGTCTCTGAATGGAGCTGAGCGGCCGGGGAGCAGGTGCGGTCGCTGGGGGCCAGGGGACAGGGACAGGGCAGAGAAACACCTCAGTGTCCTACCCCTCCGTCAGGCTGCCAGGCCTCAACCCGCCCCCCCGCCACCTACATAGGCCCCAGTCCTTCACCCAAAGCTCCTCTCCCACCTGGTCCAGATGGAAGCGGGGGCTCCTGGGAGGTGGAGGCAGGGGCGGGGGTGGGGGCTCCCTGCCCCCCTGATGCTCCCAGCTGGGTGGCATTGGACCTGGACGTGCCGCTGAGGAGACACAGAAGGGGAATCAGAGGGGTGGTTGGGGCAAGGGTGTGCACGCAGGGCGGGGACTGAGGGACGTGGAGTCCAGGACACATACTTGAAGGCGGCCTGAGTGGACGAGGCAGCAGGACCCCCACCAGCAGCCCTGACCCCCAGCTTCAGGAAACTAGAAAAGGAAGGAGACGTGGGGTCAGCAGTGCCCAGCTCCGCCAACCCCAAGAGACAGAGAAGCTCGTGGGGGCTCCCCTGCGCTCACCTGTCCTTCCTGGGGGCCCCCCACACTGCACTCTGCTGCTGCTGCTGCTGCCGCCGCTCACGCTCCTGCCACAGCTGCAAGGTGTCCGGGCGCCGCCGCTCCTCCCCTGCCGGCTCCTCCCGCCTGAGGGCAAGGGACGAGAGGCAGAGCTGGTGGGGGAGAGGAGACACGCGTGAAGGGAGGGGGTGCCACCTCGGGGGGCTCCACGGGTACCTGCTGCTCGGTGCCCTCTCCCCGTCTCCTGCCACAGGGCTCGACTCTGGCGGGCGCGGCTCCTGAAGACAGAACAGCAGAGGAGCTGAGGGGGTCCTCCGAGCCTGCACTGGCTCGCTCCCCCCGGCCCTCTCGCGTAGATGGACACGGGATGCGGCAGCCCCTCACCTCGCCGGTACCTCGCTCCTCATCCTCCCCAGGCACGTGGCTGTCGATGAAGTCGATCTGCTCAGGGTCTCCGTCAGCTAGAGAGAGCAGGGCGTGTCAGAGAGCGGAGTGGGGCGCTGAGGGCCTCGTCCACACCCACACCCCCAGCCCGGAGCCCATGTCCCCACTGCTCACCAGAGCCATCCTCCCTTCGCTCCCTGGGCCCCCGAGGCTCCCGGGCCAGCTCCGAGATCCGGAAGGACAACTCGGAGAACTCATCTGTTGACTGGAAATGCAGAAAGGCAGAGATGGGAGATAGACCCTCCAGAGTCCGGGGCCCATGGTGAACCAGCCCTTCCCTGAGGCACTTGGACGAGGGACTGAAGAGGATGGCTCCAGCCACCCTCATCACTCTGAGCTTTCGAGGCAGAACACCAAGGGTCCTAGCTCAGAGGTTCTCCCTGGGCCTGAGATCCCCTGTGTCCCATGGGAAGGAGGCCCTTACCTCATTTCCAGACCACCTCTTACTGCCACTGTCAACGCTGTGGAAGCCCGAATCCAGCCCACCATCGTACCGACGTCCCGGAAACAAGTCCTCGGCGGGGCTGGGACCAGCCAGGGAGAGCTGGTCAGCCCCGTTCTAGGCGGCCACCCTCTCATCCACCCTCCGGAAACCACGGGGTCCCTGGTGCTGGGGAGGGGTTTAAGTATCCAGGGGCTTCTTTCCTTTCCACGTGGAACTTACCAGGGGCTGAAACTTGGGGGGCGGGAAGGGGCAAGGTCCCCCAGTGCAGACCCACCGCGCCGCCCAGCCTCTGTTGACAAATACTTGAAGATGTGAAGTTTTCCCTTCAGGCAGATCTGGGTGTGGAGACGCATAGTGAGGGGACAGGGGGACCCTGAGATCCTGCTTGGCTACCAAAGGGACCCACACCCCCAACTCCTGCCAACTCTCAGCCAGCCCTGCGCCCCCTCCCACCCCTACCGCCCAGCCCTGCTCCCAACTCACCTGGGCAGGTGGGCTCTGCAGGGGGTTGCTGTCCAACAGAATGACCTGCAGGTGCCTGAGGCGGCAGAAGGAGACCGGGATGCGGGAGACACGGTTACAGGAGAAATCCAGGCGGACAAGAGGAAGGTCCCCCAGCTCTGGGGGTGGGTGAGGGAGAAGTCAGGTGCATGCTCAGGGGCGGGGCCTTGTGCTCACTTCCTCTGCCCCCTGCTCTGGCTGGCATGTCACCTCTCCAGCAGCCCCCTCTGCCCTGGTGGGCGGAGGGCACTCCCTAGGAACCACCGCCCTGCTCCTCTGCCCACTCAAACTGACTTCAGCTGCTGCCCATCCGCTTCTCCTCCCTGCCCACTCCACCCCACTGCCACTTCCTCCTCCTCAAGTGTCCATCACAGGGCCCAAATCAAACTGTGACACCTTGTTGCTCAAAAGCCTTTCAGGACTTGCAGCCAGGGCTGCTGCAGGTGAGCGGGCAGTGCCCTGCACAAAGGCACAGGCAAGTGAGGGCTGCAACCCCCAGGCGCTCTACTAGTCAAGCCCTGGCCCACCTGCAGGAAAATGGTACCCTTCTCCACTTCTCAGAGAGGTCCCCTGGATTAGTGATGAGCCGAGACACAGGATGAGAATAAAAATCACTGCTGTCTGGTCAAGCAGCATTCCCTGGTTAAGGAGTTCATGATCTGGCCCCGCCCACATTTCCCACCTCGCTTCCCACCGTCACACCACATTGGACCACCCTTCAGCCCCTTGGCTCTGGCCTCTCTACATGCTGTCTGCTCAGCTAGGAGAACCCCATTTTCTGTCCATACATCTTTCCAGGTTCAGCTCAGGTGTCACTTCTCTGAAATCTTTCCAGACACTAGGCTGGAATTTATTGCTCCTTCCTCTGTTTCCCCGGGGCATTTTGCTGGGGTCTCTTATGGCCCAGAGAGAGCCCTGATCAAATGCTTATGTACCCCTACCATCTTAGAAGAAGAATGGGAGGAGCCCAGAGAAACAGGTAGCCACCTGACTCCCCTCGCCTGCTCTTCAAAAACACGGGTAGCATGGCCGTGGTCCTTTCCACCAGTTCTGGCTTGCATTCCTAACCATTCCATGCTGGACCTCTATACTCTACATATAGGGGTACTTCTGCCTCGGCTGCAGAAGGATGGGGAACTCTCCTTCAAAGGTCAGCTCCTACTGTGCCTCAGGGCCAAGGTCTTCCCCAGGGTCCCCGGCAGAGCCATGGCTCCCTCCAGCTTCTACGGCTTTAAGTTTCCTGTCCTAGCACCTCCCTCCGCTTGTCTCTCCCCATTAAGCCCTTAAATCTTCAGAGCTGGCCCCAGAACTGAGTGACATCACTCACATCTACCTAGTCCCCACCTAAAACACAGGAAACACACACACACACAGCTGAGTGAATAAAGGAAGGTGTGTCTGCTTTGGAACAGAGGCTATCAAGTGTCGGGGTGCATCACAGTTAGCTCATTAAAATGGGCTTGCTTGGGCTCCAGTGCACTGGTGCAGAATCTCTGGGGAGGCAGCACGGGGCCTCACCAGACTAAGGTTTTGAGAGCTTCATCTGCGCTCAGTGGTGACACTGGGTGAGCTCGAAGGCCCTTTCTGACCGTGAAGTTCTACAGGGTGCCTGCTGACACACCCACCTCCTGCCCCTCCTCTACGTTTCCCCACAACTGTCAGTACAGCTAAGAAACCCTGCCTTGCCGGCTTCAGAGCGGTGCTGGTCAAGAGCAAGGAAAATAGTTTACAGTGCATCTCACACATGGCAAAACCCTGAGCAACTAAGGCATCACTGTTCAAGGTAGATACACACACATACACACACACCCCCGGACACCCTCTAAGTCTTCCTCTCCCTCACCATCAGGCAGGGTGCTGAGCTGGTTCCTCCGAACGTTGAGATCCCGCAGGGTGGGGAGGCTACACAGCTCTGCGGGGAGCGCCTGCAGCTCATTGCTGCTCACGTCCTGGAATAAGGAGAGATGTGGGCAAGGAGCATCAGAAACTGCCTCCTGGACCAGGCTACTTCCTTTAGTCTCATCCCTTTCCCTAGGGAGCATCCCGCCTTTCCCGGCCCTCCCGCCAAAAGTCCCTAGTGCCTGGCTCAGCCATCCCCCCAGCCTCCCTGCTCCGCATCCTCACGAGCTGGCGCAAGCTCCCCAGGGCACTGATGTCGGGAGGCAAGGCCCCCAGTTTGTTGTTGCTGACAATGAGCACTCGCAGGGGCAGCTGGCAGATGTAGGGCGGCAGCGACGACAGCTGGTTTCGGCTGCAGGAAGGAGAAAGGCGGTGGGCTCCCCCTCCAGGCAGGGACTCTCCCGTGTTGCCCTACTTTCTGGGTCACGGGGAGGGTCACTCAGGGTGCCATGCACTGGTACTTGGGGCTGAGAAGGACAACCCCCTACCCTCCTGTGGTCCTGCCTCCCTACCTGAGGTTGAGGTAGGTGAGAGCGGTGAGATTCCCCAAGGCTGGGTTCAGGCATCTCAGACAATTGTGGTACAGGCTCAGGCCCTCCAGGGATACCAGCTGGCACGCCGCCTCTGGCACCTCGGGGAACCGGTTCCGCGACAGGTCTAGGGGAAACAAGTGTCGGGGGGAGCTTGCAAAGGCCCGGTCCTGGATTCCCCAGAGCCAGTTGCCCAGCCTTCTACCTCCCCAGCCGACCTAAAGAATCAGACCTATAAACCTGGACTCCCTAGAGTTTAAGAAGAAAGACTTCGTAACCTGGAGCACACTCCAGGTATAACCAGAAAGGCAAAGGCAAGACTGGGCTGGAGAAGCCTAGACTGGGGGGTGGGGGGAGGGCGAGCCACAAACACTGTCTTCAGACACACAAACACAGGGCTATTCTACAAGGGTGGTTAGATTCTCTAATTCCTGTGGCTCCCGTTGTCCTGTGATGCCTGAGGAGGTGGAAGGCAAAGGTCATAGGAGAAGGCTGATGCTCCAAAGGAACTAGCAAGGTGACGGGCCGGGAGATGCAAGGTAAGACTATGACCCGCCCTTGAGGGAGATGACCAAGAAGGCTCCTCCCTCCTAAGGGCTCTGTCTCCCACCCTCAGCCTATTTTCAACCTCGGGGAAAAACCAGGGGTCATTAGAGCCTAGTCTAGAGACCTGATGCTGGCCTACAGTTTTTCACCAGCCCCTGGGATCAGTGAGCCAGGTCCACGGGACCACGAAGTTACAGATTCCAGAGGACCTGAGAGAAAGACAAGTGGACCAAGCCAGAGGTGGGAGCTGGAGTCCCAGGCAGGGACTGGCCTCCTTCCTACCCTCTTCCACTCCCAACAGCCGGCCTCTATGTCCTCTCTCACTTTTACCCAGACTTCAGACCAGCACCTGTGTCTTGGGCCTGGGAGAGGCGTGGAGAGGGTGGAAAGGAGGGGAGAGCCTATTGCCATCCTTTTATCTCAATCAGTGGCTTGCTACACTAGGGCAGGGTTCCTGCCAGGCTGGAGGCACTCGCTGCTCAGACTTCTGCAGCCGGGTTTCTGCTTCCTCTGCTCAGCCTGTACTGGGAGGGGCCCGGGGCCTGCTGCGGGAAGTCCCAGGCCACGGTGCTTGGGTGAGCTTCTTAGAGGGCCCTCTCCAGGGAAGGGCAAGCAAAAGCCGAGGGGAGGGGAAGCTGGGGTTATCCCCCAAGGAGGTGAGTCTTGTGACAGGAAATGAAGCAGAGGCAATCTGTCGGCTTCTGTCTCTGGTGGGCCCTGTGTTTACTGGGATGGATGACAGCCGGACTCCCCAGGAGCCCCCACTGATCCCAGCCCTGCTGTGCCAGACAGACCTGTCCCAGGAGAAGACGGTTCTGGAGAGGCTGGGAGGGCCAGACGCATCCTCCAGCCCCGCCCCCTCCACCTGCCTGCTTTCTGTTGTGTGCACTGCAGGGGCCTGTGGGAGAAGGGGTGGGGAGCAAGTTCCGATGGGGTGCACAGGGGGCAAAAGCTCGGGGCGGAAGGGAGCAGGGCTGGAGGAGGCAGGGCCTAGGAGGCACAGGATGTGGTCTGTGAGAGATCGAGCTGCACTTCTCTTTTGCGAGTGCAGCCCTTCCCCCACCTCAGGATTCATCCTGCTATCAGGGCCCCAGGAACAAGTCCAAGGGACATCAGGGACCTGGGCCATGGGACAGCACGTGCAAGGAACACGCTGGTTCAGAAAGAGCTGGGGAAACAGGAGGAGAGCTTCCACATGACTGGGGCGGCAGTGCTGGAAGCCTTTATCTGTCAGGGCAAGGAGGTGTGGAGATCAGGGTATGGGCAACACTGACTGGCTTCCTGTCACTTCCCCTTTTCTACCCCAAGCTACAGGCACCCTGCGTGGGGAGAGGGGCCAGAGGAGAGAGCTCGGGATGAGAGAGACCCACCTGGCCTAGAACCTGGGCCCTGAAAGAACTGAGGGTTCCTGTGTGGAGAGCAGGGCAGAGAGGGGTTCACAGGAAGCTGGGGCTGTCCCAGGAGAACAGGCTGCACCCTGAGCCGGAATGCTGGGGAGGAGGCGGGAGGGGGTGGGAGCTGGGAGGGGCCCCGGAGTTCCCGGGAGTTTTCCCCAGGAGTCCACTCTCACAGACAGAGCCCTAAGGAAGTAAAGAATAACATTTGGTCTTTGTCAAAAAACAAGCAAGGGGGAGGGGAAGGGAACAGACGGCGAGTGTCACACAGCTGCTGAGGTCGATCTGGAGCTGGGGGGTTAGGCGGCTGGGGAGACTCAGAAGGACGGGAATGGCTCCCGGGTTCCCTGAACTCACTCACCGCAGAGCCGGCCAGTGAGTTTACCTAGCAACCCAAGACAAGCAGAGTGGTTTCAACTGGTTCTCTCCAGACAGTTGAGGAAAGACTAGGGTGTTTGCAGGTGAGCAGGCACCTGCTAGGTGGGGAATGCAGTCCCACGGTAGTGTCATCAGGGGTCACTCTCATCCAGCCCCAAGTCCCACCCTGGGCTCCGCTGGGGTGGGGCTTTGGGAATGCGGTCCTCCGCCCCTCTCCCAATCCCCACCCCCCCAGCTGCCAGCCCAAGGTCAACGTTGGCCTTCTGAGCAGCTGAGGCCTGACTCACCTGTCACAGTGGAGTCTCCTACACCCTACCATCAACAGACACCAGGGTGGGGGGCGCATGATTAGCGGGATCCTAGGGGTGGGGGAGTGGGAAGGGCAGTGGGGACAGTCTCTAGAGTCCCAGCACTCTTAGCTGGGAGAAAAGATTTCCTTCCTTTCAGCAACTGCCTAAAGTCCCTGCCCCCTGGGGAAAAGCAGAAACTGAAATGGGAATTCTGGGGTGTCTATGAGATCACAGGCTCCACAGTGACCTCACACACGCAAGAAGGAGGAGGAGTCTCAGATAAAGGGGTCAGGATAATGGGAGGAAGAACTCGCGGAGAAGAGATGGGGGAAGTGGGAGATTTGCTTCTTTTCCACAGGCTGGCTGGGTGAAGAGTGGAAAGAGGCAGCAGGCTTAGGGGGCGGGACTACAAAGCGAAGGACACAAACTTGGGGTTGTCAGGGCAAATCTATGGGAAGCGGGGGCCTGGGGCTGCTCGTATCTCGGTGGAACAGGGGAAAGAGTTGCAAACGAAGTGAGGAAAGAGAAAGGAGTCATGGGGTGGGGTGGGCTTTCGGGGGCTGCTGTATGGAATGATCAGAACTGAGGTTGAAGAGATCACGCAAATAAGCCAACCAGGTGAGGGGCGGGACCATTCTACAGGTGCGCAGATATGCAAATAAAGAGCAGCAGAGGGCGGAGGTGGGGGGGGGGGCTCTCACGACGCTCGGCCAGGGACTCTGGGTGTTCCAGGCAAACGAGAAAAGGGCTCATTGTCTAGTAGTTCTTAAAGTGGGGAGGGGGCTGGTAGCGGACTTATGCAAATCCACAGAATCCAGAACTCCGATGGCCAGGTGATGGGGCGGGCCAGACGCCCCGGCCCCGGGAGAAACAAGCAAGGGGCGGGACTATGCAAACGAGGGTCCCAGCCGGGCTCTGGGCCTGGTTGCACACTCACCAGCCTGCGTGATGTCTGACAGGTCGTAGCTGCGAGCCGCGCCCCGGGGGAAGTGCTTCAAACGCCGGTTAGACAGGTTCAGCGTCCCGGTGGCCACGGCCTCCTCTAGGGCCCGCTCTGCACTGCGGCTCCCAGGCAGACCTGGAGACCCTGGGACGGACGTCGTGGCCGCTGCCTCCTCACCCCCGGCGGCGAGTGGGGCCGCCACCGCCGCCGCCATCCGCTCCCGGCGGCTCCCGCTGCCTGACTGACGGCGACCGGCCGTCCCTCCTTGCCCCTCCCCCTCCTCGGAGCCGCCGTAGTCGCTTCCCGGGGGGAGGGATCGGGCTCAGGGACCCGGCGGGCCAATCGGGACCCCGAGACGCGTCGGAAGTGGCTAATCAGAACCGCCGGGAGGGGTGGAGACTCCTGCACGGAGTGAGGCGAGAAGAAGGGAGGGGGGACGAGATTAGAGCGCTCGCCAACGGCCGAGGTTCCAGGCCGGCCCGCCCCGCGCAGCCGCACCCAATCACAAATCTCAGGAGCGGGGATGGAGCCAATCAGGTCCAATCAAGGGGCGGAGACGCCCAGGGCTCCACTCTGTGGGGATGGAGGCAGAGAAAAGCAAATCCTGAGCCTCGTCCAACGAAAACCAATCGCAAGCCAGACACAGGCGAGTGACTGTCAAGAAGGCCAATTAGATCCTCCCAAGGGAACCTGGCCCGGCCTCTTCTCTGAGGGACGGCTCTACCAACCAATAGTATGGGCGATAAGACGGCCCCCTTCGCTGAGGAGGAGGCGGGTAACTAGAACTTTTTGAGACCGATAAAAGAATGGAAGCGCGGCGCGCTGGGTCGGCTGCAAGCGGTTGCAAGGACTGAAGTTAATGTGTGCATGTTGGACTTGTGAGCAAGCTAGCTGAAAGCTTTGAGGACCGTGGGGACTAGGGGGAGCGGGAGGCATGGTGATGCCTGAGGCCTGTGTACCGAGGGGTCGTTACCGCAGAAGGGATCGTGGATGCCATTCCCGCTGCGAAGGCTGAGGTCCCCCAGACAATCTGGAGTCCGAGCCGACCAGTGGCTTCCTAGGGTCTGAAGATGCCCAGCTCAACTCCTGGAGGAAGGGTTAAAGAAGACCCGGAAAGCCTCGAAAATAACGCCGGGCTATCCCGCTGCCCAAAGGAGCGCGCCTGGCTGGTTAGAAATTGTGATGATCAAACCTTTGGAATTAATCTAGAAGGGACCACCCTCACGTAGAAGTCCTCCGTTTTACAAATGAGGAAACAAGCGGAGGGAAGTTGATGAGCTGTCAAGAGAAAACAAGTTACTGACAGCTCGCACTAGAAGCCAGGCTTCTCCCTGCATCAGCTTTTGCGTTGGGCTTTTTTTTTCTGTTCGCACCCTCTTCTTTGGCTTCCAAGGTGAAACGGAGTGGATAAAAAGGACCCAGATGCAAGAGGAAGCTGCCTATACTTGTTCGGTCTGCTGAGAGATCTTAACATCCTGTTAGGTGGCATAAGGACCTAGTATAATCCACTTAACTGGTTAACAGATGCCTAGCCACAAGTAACTGAAGAATCTCTCCCATAAGTCACAACTCAGATGTTGACATTCCGAGACATTTATTGAATTATTAGAATTCCACCCTATGTGTGTCAATCTAGGTGTTTACTGGTCCCCCAAGTAAGGGAGTTGGATTGGATGGTTGACAGTCTACTAACACAGAAAACGAATGAGTCTATAATACTGTGCAGCTGAGGGCTGGTTGTCCAGGCCTGAATTCTTCAGTGTTGCTGGGCCAGCCAGCCACTCCTTGGATGTATCAGTGCAGATCTTCTGTCCCCCACATGGACAGATGCAGCCCCAGCTCCTGCTGCTTCTCATCCACGTCATCCCCCTCTCCCCATAAGACTAAGTTAATAGCTTAGACTCTGGGAGATATCCTAAGCTTTCAGAGTAAATCTATCTCTTCCTTCCACCTTAATAGGTTGCCCTTCAGGCATGCAACCATGTTACTGTCCCAGGAAAGAAGTCTGCTTTTGGATGTGTTCTTCATGAGAAGAGTAGTGTTTCTGCTTAGCTGTGCCCACTGTCATCTCATGCATGCTGTCATGAGATAAATGGTCTAATTAACAGGGTCACCTTTCCCCCTCGCCTTTCAAATTGAGTTTATATCCCTGAGCTACAAATCCCCTGGCGGCTCTGACCTGCTGAGATATGAAGAATTCACCAGTGCTTCTCTTGCTAAAAGGGCATCAAGTAGAAAAGCCTCCTCCTACTCCCTGAAAGGAAAGGCCTCATCTACCAGTAGCTCACACTTTCCTTCTCCTGTCCAATGCATATCCCATGAGCCCCTGGGTGGCCAGAACTGAGCTAGAACCAAGGAGCTGAGAGAGAAAATCCCAGGCAAGCTTGGGGAAAAATAGGTCACAGTGGCTGGGTGGTGAGGTCACAGAGAGAGGTTTGTCTGCCCCAGACTCCATAGGGGAGGAGCCTAGCAGGCCAAGGGGCCCCAGAAAGTCCCCCAAGCCCAGGCAGGGGACATGGTGTGGGAAAGGCAGCAGGGACGGGGCCAGGGAGCTGAGTACGGGGGGCCAAGGGGCCCGGAGAGATGAGGGCAGGCGCAGGGAGGGGGCAGTCAGGATGGTGAGGAGAAGCCGGAGCCGGAAGCTGCAAAAATTGACCGGGCTGTGCAGACGGGAGGAGGGGCTCAGGGTGAGGGGGGAGGGCGGCGAGGCAAGGTGGGGGGCAGCAAGATGGCAGCCGGAGGTCAGGGGAGGAGTTGGACAAGGAGTCAGACAGACAGGGAGGGGTAACCCACGGACCCAGAGGAAAAAGATGGCAGGCTCGAACAGCACAGAGCTGGGAGTCAGACAATGGGCCCCCCCACAACAGCAGTTAATAAGTAAGAGATGGGAGAAAGAGGGGCATGCCCGTCATGTGCGCCCCCTTCTCCTTGGGCAGGTAAAGCGGAGCTGCCCTTCATGCCCTTCAGAGCCTGGCGGTGAAGAGAAGAAGGGGCGAGGAAACCCTGTTTCTGTTCAGCTGTTCCCCCCAGAGCTGGTGAGTCCTTGGGGGTGGGGGGTTGGTGCTAAGAATAAAGGAACCCGGGGCCAGGATGGCTGGGCGGGGTAGGGGGGTGCCCCCTGACCCCTGCTTTCCCCATCCTGCCCGCCCCCCAGGTGGAGCACATCGTCTCATTCCTCCCAGTCAGAGATGTGGTCGCTCTCGGCCAGACCTGCCACTACTTCCACCAAGTGTGCGATGCCGAGGGCGTGTGGAGGCGCATCTGTCACCGGCTCAGTCCTCGCCTTCGAGAGCAGGGTTCTGGGGTCCGACCCTGGAAGAGAGCTGCCATTCTGAACTGTACACCTTCCCCCTCAACCTCTAGTTCTCTCTGCCTCTGTCCTACCTTATCCTGGGGTCCCTCCTGCTCCATAAACTTGTTTGATGACCTTAGTATTCCCAGCCAACCTTCCAGGACCCCTTTCTCTGGAAGAAACTTGTTAAATTGAAACACACTCCAGCAAGGTCTTACTCCAAGTCTCTAGAGCTGCTCTCAGATAGACGTGTCACCCAGAGCCTCTACTCCTTCTAGCATCCCTGCCAAGTTGCCCCCAACATTCAAACACTTCCACATTTCACCTTGAGACATCCTCCTCTCCCAATACCTGGAATTTTCCCTCCTCTAAACCAGGATTTCTCAACCTGGTCCCTAATAGGACTTGGGGACAAATAATTCTTTGAAGTCGGGTGAAGGGGCTATCCTCTGCATTTGTGGGATGTTTAGCAATTTCCCCCATCTCTACCCACTAGATACCAATAGCACCTCCCCCAGCTGTGACAGCCAATGTCTGCTGAGGGACAAAAATCACCCCCAGGTGGAGAAATATGCTCTAATCTCCAATCCAGTAACTTCATCTCACACACCAGAGTGAAGGGAGATCCAGATAGCACATCCAGAGCTAGGGACAAGGGAGGGCTACCGGCTTTTCCCAGTCATTCCTTTTCACTCCTCTTTCTACTTTTCTATGAATTCTTTTAAGTCCTTTGATATCTCCACCCTAATGCAAGTTTGGACCAAAGAAGTGCTCACTTAGCAGCAAGTGTATGGCCCTGGGCTGAGGTCAGGCAGAGAATTTTAGTTCAGACATGGGGCATAATTTCAGGTATCTTCTGAGCATTGCACAGGCCCTTTGGAAGGGGTCGTTCCCCAGGCATGGGGATGGGGAGGAGCTAAACACCCATCCACTGAGAAACCCAGCTTGCCCAGGCTCTGATTCATCTCCCTTGTGCCTTCCTGAGCCTTTAAATTCCTCCTCTCTGTCTTCTCCAGACACAAAGGGCCTGTATTTCCAGGCATTCGGGGGCCGCCGCCGCTGTCTCAGCAAGAGTGTAGCTCCGCAGCTAGCCCATGGCTACCGCCGCTTCCTGCCCACCAAGGACCACGTCTTCATTCTTGACTACGCAGGGACCCTCTTCTTCCTCAAAAATGCCCTGGTCTCCTCCACCCTTGGCCAGATCCAGTGGAAGCGGGCTTGCCGCTATGTTGTATTGTGTCGTGGAGCCAAGGATGTGAGTAACAGGACCCCGACAGCCGAGACCCCACCTTTCCTCCGGGAA